CATTCAACAATCTTTGAGGGTCCCACTCTACCCTTTTTTTCAGTAGCTCCAGTTCCGTCTTTTAAAAAAAATGTACAATAAGATCTTGCAAAACAACTTGGTATTTATTATACTAAATAATTTATGCATAATATTGTAATAGACAAAATATTCCTAAAATGATGTAGAGCACCAGTGGCAGAAAAAGCATTTCAGATTATACATGCCTTTTAGAAATTTCACTGGGAAGACGAAGGAAGATGATACGGTTTTTAACGATCAGATCAACACGTGTAACTGCAAATTATGCATTTTCTATACTCAAAAAATCCACAACGATCAAGTACAGAGTGCACCTGAAAAGCAAGCAAAACAATGATATTTATTTGCCCAACTTTTATTCTCTTACAAATCATAATTTAAACACCACAACGCTTTGCAGTGAATTGAGCACAGGTTCCAGACAGTGCCGTTGGTTTCTGCAAGCTCCAAAGCAACCGCAGTGACGATCGGCGCTCGCTGATTGCAGTCAGAGACACACAGTGGGTTTCTGGAACAATGACTCAAAAGCGTACAGAATTTTTAGTTGGAAAAATGCATAATGCTGACAGTGTCTTCATTAACAGATTTTTAAATGCCTTTGGAGGAAAGATCACATCAGGAATTGAAGTAGTGTTCAAAGAGCAAAACAAAAGTTATGTAAACTCTGCACAGACTTGAAACTGAACGACGTTCGGTTACACAGTCCTCCCAACGGCCGTTACCGTCACGCTGCACGGCACGTTCGTGGTGCTGGCGCTGCTGGGTGACGCATGGCGGGTTATTAAGCGTATTGGTTACATGAAAACTTCGCCTTGGAAAACTAGTGAGGAGTTCCCTTCTTTAGGGAAACAAATGCGTATGAAGTAGAGTTAAACAGAGTTTAATGAACTGATAAATCGAAATCAAACCCTAAGTATCAACTTTTATACTAAATTAAAATCATATATTAAATATAAAGCAAGTATAAATGTGTAAGAAAAATGGAAAACAAACACTTGCATCTTTATAAAAAATTATCAGAAGCCATACTATTCATCTTGCAAGAAATTATTTTTGGAAGGCTAAAATCATTTATATATATATCTCAAATAAATCTATGAATATAACAAGAGATAGAAACAGTATATAAATATGGTATCTTTAAATATTTACACGTATATGGAAACTAGTCAAAGTGGTGCTATATAAGAAGGAAATGTCTGTTACAAAAGTGAGATTAGTTTTGCATACATCCGTCTGCATACACGATCAGTTTTAAACTTGCATCTTCCATAAACTAAGATCATTAACTTTAAAATCATCATTGCATAGAATTACTTGAAAAATATTACCTAATTCTGCATTCCACCTCACAGTAAAAACTATCAGGGTAGCGATACAAAAATAGTAACTCGGAGCGGAGCAGCCAGCTGTGCTGCCCTTCAAAGTTTAGTCTCTGACCTCCTGCCTTTAGGAACAAGGAAGACGTTGCCGTCTCTCGTTTGCTGCAGTGAATACTCACTGGGGGAGTAAGACTTTCCGTCTTCATCGCGTAGCATGCTGAAGACCTCAAGGTATAAGGTGGTTAGCTGCTTCTTCATTTGACGAAGGCTTTTGTCATGCTCTCCTTTTTCCTTAAGCAATTTCTCTTTCTCGTCTTTTAGGTGACTCAAGTCTTGCTCCAGTTCCACTATATTTTCCAGTTTTCTTTTACGGCAGTTTTGAGCAGCCACCTTGTTCTTGCCTCTCCTGCGTATGTCTCGAATAAGCGCAAGCTGGGCTTCACTGAACTGCTCCTTTGACATCATTTCGTTGAAGTCATCAACTGGGAGATTGATGATTTTTTCGACAGGGAAAGGGATCTGCAGAGCTTTTGCTCTCTGCTCATCTCTCGTGAGATGAGCTTCAAGGCGGCCTGAAGGTTTATCTTTTGTGAACGGAGCTTTGGGGTGGCCCGGGCCCACGGGGGGTTCTTTCTTTGGTGTGTCTGTACACTGCAAAGCAGGTGTTTGAGTGCTCGGCCCCACGGCAGGCAGCACCGGATCCTGGAACTGCAACGAGTACGCGCTCGCGTTGCTCTGCGGCACGCTTCCAGGAGCGCTATCTGTGTCTTCCATCTCGGAATCGCTGCAGCCAAAAGTCTTATCCCCACAGGCAGACGATTCCACAGAGTGCTGAGGCGACGCGATGCTAGAACTTGCATTCAGTGAAATACCAGAGTCAGAATCGCTACATTCTGGTACGGTTCCTGAGTGGTTGCCGTTGAAAGCTTTACACAGGGAGAAATCGGAAAGATCAATAGGTTCACTCAGAATTTCCGCAAGTGATTGACTGATAGTGTTTGTCGTTGCTGTGCCACTGTTCACCTTCGTATCAATAAAGGCGGTGTAGAAATCCTCACAGAAATCGGAGTTTGCAGGGGACATGTCATTTAAAGAGTTCACACTCAGCTGGCTGGTGTCTTCTGGTGGCAAAATGCTGGAAAAGGGGCCCTCGATACTATCCAGGAAATCTGGACCGCAGTTACCATCTTTTCTCATGATGGGTAATGAGCTGTAGTAACTATAGCTGTTGTGCATCTCCGTTGGCTTGGTTTCAGGGCTTGTGATTGTGCTTACCTCAGCCAGGTTATCATTTTCGATGTTAAGACACTACACGGGAAACGTGAGAGAGAGAAGATGAGCAACACATCACCAACTGATGATAAACCCTTTTTCCATAACCCACAAACATTAAATATTTTAGCATTCAACATGCACATAAAATGGGTATTACAACACTGCTGTAACCCAGCTGACTACAACACTTCTACTACGGAGAGGCAATCAAGGGAGGAGACTGGATACCTAAGCAGAGTACGAAGCAACTTGTTCTGGACAAAGCTATTTAAAGACAGCAGAGCCTCTCGAACTCGTAGCAAGGTGCTGAAGCACCCAGTCCAACGCACTCTGACGCTACCTGGAAGCTGCATGGAGCCCTCCTGCTCCGCTAACTTGCTAGTGGGGATCCTGGAGCTGCCCGGTCTGAGCTGCTCACAAGCACCACAGCACATGGCACTAGTACAGCAAATGTAAAATCCCTGAATGAGACTCAGTGAACACTACCAGCACACAATTATTTCTAGCACTCAATTTCATGTTGTGCAATAGATTTATTTTCCTCAAAAAACCAAGGTTCTTTCAGGATTTACTGAGCTAAGAGAGGAAGCCTACAGAGAGGATGACCTTCCTTTGGTCGAGGAGGACTGCGTGAGGCATCGCTTAAGCAATCTGGATGCCCACAAATCCATGGGCCCCGAAGGAATGCACCCACGAGTGCTGAGGGAGCTGGCAGATGTCATTGCTGAGCCACTCTCCATCATCTTCGAAAGGTCCTGGAGGACAGGAGAGGTGCCTGAGGACTGGAGAAAAGCCAGTGTCACTCCAATCTTCAAAAAGGGCAAGAAGGAGGACTCAGGGAACTACAGGCCGGTCAGCCTCACCTCCATCCCGGGAAAGATGATGGAGCAGCTCATTCTAGAGGTCATCATCAAGCAAGTGGAGGAAAAGAA